TCTAGAACGTCGAGGATGCTTTAGGGATGCGTAAGGTTTGCAACGACATTGTGACTTTAAGGATGCGCCAGGTGTAGAACGTCAGGGTGGCTTTAGGTATTCGTAAGAATGTTATCATCAGGGTTGCATTAGGGATGCGTCACGGTTAGAACGTCAGGGTTGCGTCAGGGATGCGTCGAAGTTTGAACGTCAGGATTGCATTAGGGATGCGTCAGTGTTGGAACATTAGGGTTGCTTTAGGGATGCGTCAGGGTTGTAACGTAAGGTTTGCTTTAGGAATGGGTAAGGGTTTGAACTTCAGAGATGCTTAAGGCATGCAGCAGATTTGAAACGTCAGGGTTGCATTAGGGATGCGTCACGGTTGATTCGTCAGGGTTGCGTCAGGGATGCGTCAGGGTTGGAACGTAAGGTTTTCGTAAGAGTTTGGACGTCAGGATTGCCTTAGAATGCGTCAGGGTTTAAACATCAGGGTTTCTTTAAAGATGCGTCAGGGTTGGAACGCCAGAAATGCTTTTGGGAGTGGTCAGGGTTAAAACGTCATGATTGTTTTAGGGATGTGTCAGAGTTGAAACATCAGGGTAGCTTCAGGGATGCGTCAGGGTTAGAACGTTAGGGTTGCTTTAGGAATGCGTAAGGGTCGGAACGTCAGGTTTCATTTATGGATGCGCCAGGGGTGGAACGTCTGGGTTGCGTCAGGGTTGCGTCAAGGTTTGAACGTTAGGGTTGCTTTAGGGATGCGTCTGGGTTTAGACGTCATGGTTGCTTTAAGGATGCGTCAGGATTGAAACGTTAGGGTTGCTTAAGGGATGTGTCACGTTTGGAACGTCAACGTTGCTTTATGGATGCGTCAGGGATGAAAAATGAGGGTTGCGTCCAGGATGCGTCATGGCTTAAAAGTCAGGGGTTGCTATAGGGATGCGTCAGGGTTAGAAAGTCAGAGATGCTTTAGGAAGTCGTCAGGGTAGAAACGTCAAGGTTGCTTTAAGGATGCGTCAGGGTTGAAACATCAGGGTAGCTTTAGAAATACGTCACAGTTAGAACGTCAGGGTTGCTTTAAGGATGCGTCAGAGTTGGAACGTAAGGTTTGCTTTACAGATGCGTCAGTGTTAGAACATCAGGGTTGCTTAAAGGATGCGTAAAAGTGGGATCGTCGGGGATGCTTTAGGGATGGGTCGGGGTTGGAACGTCAGGGTTGCTTTAGGGATTCGTCAGTGTTGCAAAGTCAAGGATTCTTAAGAGATGCGTTAGGGTTAGAACGTCAGGGTTGCTTTAGGGATTTGTCAGGAGTAGAACATCAGGGTTGCTTAAGGGATTAGTCAGCGTTGAAACGTCAGGGTTGCTTAAGGTATGCGTCAGGGTTGGAACGTCAGGGTTGGAACGTCAGGGTTGCTTTAGGTATGCGCAAGGTTTGGAACGTGAGGGTTGCTTTAGGGTTGCGTCAGAAGGGAATTTTCAGGTTGGTTTTAAGGATGCGTCACGGTTGGAACGTAAGGGTTGCGTCAGGGATGCGTAAGTGTTGGAACGTCAGGATTGCGTCAGGGAAGCGTCAGGGTTGGAACGTTAGGTTTGTTTAAGGGTTTGGACATCAGGGTTGCTTTAGGGATGGGTCAGGGTTGGAACGCCAGGGTTACGTCAGGGATGCGTTAGGGTTCGAACGTCATGTTTGCGTCAGGGATGCGTCAGGGTTGGAACGTCAGCGTTGCGTTAGGGATGCGTCAGTGTTTGATCTTAACGTTTGCGTCAGGGTTGCGTCAGTGTCGCGTCTGCGTTGGAACGTCAGGGTTGCTTAAGGGATGCGTCAGGGTTAGAACGTCATGATTTTTTAAGGGATGCGTCAGAGTTTGAACGTCAGGGTTGCTTAAGGTATGCGTCAGTGTTGGAACGTCATGGTTGCTTTAAGTATGCGCCAGGTTGGGAACGTAAGGGTTGCTTTAGAAATGCGTCAGAATGGAATCTTTAGGGTGGCTTTAGTGATGTGTCATGGTTGGAACGTAAGAGTTGCGACAGGGATGCGTCAGTGTTGGAGCGTCAGGGTTGCCTCAGGGATGCGTCAGGGTTGGAACGTTAGGTTTGCGTAAGGGTTTAGACATCAGGGTTGCTTTTGGTATGGGTCTGGGTTGAAAGTCAGGGTTGCTTTAGGGATGCGTCAGGGGTCGAACGTCATGATTGTGTCAGGGATGCGTCAGTGTTGGAACGTCAGGGTTGCGTTAGGGATGCGTCAGGGTTTGAACTTCACGTTTGCGTCAGGGTTGCGTCAGGTCTGAAACATCATGGTTGCTTTAGGGATGCGTCAGATTTGGAACGTCAGGGTTGCGTCAGGGATGCGTCAGTGTTGATACGTCAGGGTTGCGTCAGGGATGCGTCAGGGTTGGAACGTCAGGTTTGCGTAACGGTTTGGACGTCAGGGTTGCCTTAGAATGCGTCAGGGTTGCGTCAGGGTTCCCCCCCGTGGGTAGGCCCCCCCGTGGGTAGGGGGTAGTAGAATACTCTCACAGTATTCCCTGCTTGTCGTAAGAGGCGACTAAAAGGGAAGGTGTGAATGGTGTGTGTATGTTCTGTGTGGCTATTTCTCTCTTTAATTCTTTCTATCCCTGCTTTATCTATTCTTTCTTGTCTCTTCTTTCCTTCTTTTCCTCTCCTTTCCTCTGGGCTTGTGCGTACATATAATATATATAAATATGGATAGCACAAGGACAGAGACCAAAACGTGTGGGAGGGACACCCACAMAACGGCGGTGTTTGGTGGTGGTAGGACAGGCCACCTATCGTCGACATCATGCAACTGTCATGAGTCTAGGGTAGGGGACCCGGCCCTGACTCTGGATAATGCGTCGGGAAGTTATTCGCGGGTAGGCGACCTGGGCTGCGGATCGACTGTTGTTTCAGGAAGTGGAGAGCGCTCCTTGGAAGAACGACTGAAATGCACGGTGAGGTGCATTGAGGATTTGGAGACTGACCATGTTCTGGTCAGGCCTCATAAAAAAAGGGCAAGACCAATACAATACACCTCATCATCGGAGGATGAGGTGATTGATTTAACCAACATGGAGGGGATCGCACCGGAGGGACCTTTGGTCTCCAACTTGGTGACCGGACGATTAATTGACATCCTCTTGGACAATATGGCCGAGGCTGAAGTCAAGARGAAAACGTGCRGGAATATCAAAGGTGAAATCTCGGGGAAGATGAAGAGCTGTCACCTGGAGGTGATAGAGATGGCCAGGGAGCTACAGGCCCGCAATAGGGTAAATTGTGGCTCTGACTTAAGAGAGTCCATAGAGCAGTTAAGGGCAGAAGCTAAAGCCACTAACAACAGGCTAAAGCAAGTGGAGGAGGAGTGCACGCGCCTTAAAAAGGGAGTTAAGGCGTAAAGATGCACTCCTGGAAAAAATAACGAAGGGAGAAACCAGCCAAAAGGAGGCCCCAACTAGGGTGGCAGCTGCTGGACCAAGACAGGCTAGATCTCTGGCGGAGGAGAGACTAGCCCAAGCTAGAAAGGTTAAGGATCCTGAGAGCGGGACGATGGGGAGAGCTCATACTGAGCTCACCAGGTCTGTTCTCAGGATCTAACAGGAACTGAGGGAGATGAGGGGACAGGTATCTTATGCCCAAGTTGCAGCCAGACCACGGGTTGCACCCCCACCGTGGAATCCAACACCTCTGAACGCTGTCCCGGACGGGGATGGGTTTGTCGAGGTTAGGAGGAGAAGTAAGATTGTTGCATCTACTGGGGGGTTCTTACCCATGCGGGCGGATACCAGGAGGGTTGGCTCAACTGTTAGTCCTCGCGTGGGGAAGGGCCCTGCTGAAGGTGGACAGAAAGCAAAAAAGAAGAAGAGGAAAAGGAGGAACCGAAGAATTAGGGAGACCGCAGCGGTATCCCTCACGTGTGCAGAAGGGGCCTCATATTTGGAGGCATTAAAAAAGATTGAGACGGAGGTCAATCTAAAGGAAATAGGGGCAAAGGGGCTCTTCTACAGGCGTGGACTTACGGAGTCATTCACATGGCAGGTCCGCGGAAAGGACGCCAACGTGAAGGCCGATAAGTTCGCGCAGGCCCTGAAGGGAGCCCTACGGAAGGCAAAGATAGCGAGGCCTCAGAGAACTAGCCCCATCAGGCTGGCGGAAGTTTACCCGACTACCACTCTGACGGCGATTAGATGCGGGCTACAAGATGTTAGGGCAGGATTTGACCCTAACCTTATCAGCATGGGGGAGATCCATTTGGGCAGGGGTAGTCGCTAYGAGGTCACAGTAGTGGCCCCATCGGCGCTGTGCCAGGCTGCCATTGAAAGAGGAAATATACTTATAGGATGGAGCAGAGTCCGAGTGTTTCCGGTAAGACCCAGGCCCCTAAGGTGCCATAGGTGTCTGGCAAAAAGCCACGTGGCTGCCTCCTGTCCTGCACCGGGTGCCAGGATCGGGGTATGTTTCAAGTTTGGGGAACCGGGGCATGTGGCGAAAGAATGTGAAGACAAGATAAAATGTCCGATCTGTGTGGAGGCGGGGCGCCCCCGAACCTCACACAGGGCTTGGTCCTGGGAATGTCCCTTAGTGCCTCCTATTAAGGGGAAGGACATAATACTGGGGAGAGTTTCGGGCCAACGGGACAAGGTGGGGAGTGAAAACGTTCCGGGAAGTGCAGGCGCAAAGCCAAACACAAAAGATATTTAAAATAATGCGTGTGTGAGTGTAAACAATGTCATGGAGGTTTAGCAGGAGAGCTCTGCCCCTCCATGTAACTAATAGATTAGATTCAATTATGGCCACGGTCATCCAGGCCAACTTGAATCATGCGCGTCGTGCCCAGGACTTATTGGGCCAACGTATGAAAGAGATTAGGGCGGACATTGCGATAGTCTCGGAGCCGTGGTGGGTTCCTCCAGGGGATGGGAAATGGTTTTCATCACTAGGGGGCCACCCCTCTCCCCGATTATCGCGAGCAAAGGCGAGGGAGCTTGTAGCCTGGTGCGTCGGGGTTTGTTCTTTGTAGCCGTCTAATGGGGGACTCGTTGGTAGTTTCCGTCTACTTTCCTCCCAGCGAGAATTTAGATAGTTTTTGTAGACTCGTTGATGAGCTCGATGAGCTCTTAGGTACATTTCCCACTCTTCCAGCGCTTGTTGCCGGGGACTTTAATGCTCGGTTTCCCAGATGGGATCCGGAAGGCAGAAGTAACCCAAGGGGCGAGTTGCTCTGCATTTGGGCCAATAGGTTGAACCTAAGCCTGGGTAACCAGGTTGGTCACCCCACGTGCGTTCGGCCGCAAGGGTCGAGCGGTATAGATCTTACGTGGGGATCTCCGGCAGCTAGTGTCCGCTTATCGGATTGGAGAGTGGATGAGGCTGAGTCCCTTTCGGACAATTTGTATATTATCTTTAAATACAGGCATGAGGCTATAGGCTCCCAGAGACTTCGCTCCAGGGACAAAATTTTCCCTAAGTGGGATGCGAGGGCTGTGGACGAGGATAGGCTTGCCGCAGCCCTCGTCTCCGGTGAGTGGACAAGAAACGCTAGTGACGATAGGTGTGACCTAGTGAAGTGGGWGAACAATACCCTTCTCGCTTCATGTGACATATCAATGTCAAGGGTTAGGAAAGGAGTGAACAGGTGTCGTGGGGTGCCATGGTGGTCGCGGGAAATCGCGATACTACGAGGGGCAGCTACAGCGGCAAGGAGGCGTTACCTGAGGGCCAGGCGGGGTGGTGATCCAGCCAGGATCATGGCGTACTTGAAAGACAGGAAAGAGAAGAAGAGAGAGTTATCAAGGGCCATCAGAAGGGGCCAAGGCCTCTGCCTGGAGGGACTTCATCGCTACTATCGATGATGACCCCTGGGGGAGGCCTTATAGGCTCGTGATGGGCAAGCTGAGGGCTCGTGGTGTTCYTCCATTGACCGAAACTCTGGATCCTCCTCTCTTGGCAAGGATCGTAGCGACGCTGTTTCCGGGGAGTATACGACCAGTAGCCCTAAACGCTATCGTAGAGGACGAGAACGAGATAAGAGTCACCACAGGAGAGGTGTGCAGAGCAGCTAAGAGGATCGACTTTGGGAGGGCGCCGGGTCCTGACGGGATACCTGGCCTGGTGGTGAAGAGGGCGGCTACACACTGTTACAAAGGATTAGCGGAGTGCTTTACTACGCTGCTTAGGAGGGGAGTCTTCCCACGGGAATAGAAGAGGGCGAGACTTGTCCTCCTAAAAAAGAAGCATGATGGTGATGGTAGTGCGCCCAACTCATATAGACTGATATGTCTACTGGACGAGGTAAGAAAGCTTTTCGAGAGGGTTGTTGTCTCTAGGGTGAGCGAGTTTTTGAACAGTGAGTGTGTTCTCTCTCCGAGTCAGCATGGTTTCAGGGTGGGACATTCTACCATCGGAGCCATTGGAGAGGTAAAAAATTATATACAGGAGTGCGCGAGTAGTGGACAGGTGGGAGTGTTAACATTATTAGACATAAGTAACGCGTTTAACTCGCTCCCCTATGAGACAGTGATAGAATCAATGAAGAGAAGTAGCTTCCCTACCTATATTGTAAATATTGTTAAGGACTATTTTCGAGACCGGCTCCTGTCCTTCTTTGGAAGAGAGGGGAATATTAGAAACGTAAGTGTGATGTGTTGGGTTCCGCAGGGTTCTGTCCTCGGCCCCACACTTTGGAACATTGCCTATGATAGGGTCCTCCGAGTCCTGCTGCCGGGGGGGTCTTGTGTGGTTTGCTACGCAGACGACACGGCCCTCCTTTCAGCAGGGCGGGACCTGTCTAGCGCAATGTTAGCGGCTGAAAGRGACCTAGAGGTCCTTGTGAGTGAGATTGAGGGATTAGCCCTTAAAGTGGCGCTAGAAAAAACGGAGGCAATGGCCTTCCCTGCCTCTGCGTTACGCAGACGCAGGATTGCTTTCCCCCTGTAATTAAATACAGGGGGGTTTTTATTGTAGTAAAGCCTAGTGTAAAATACCTGGGCATAGTTTTAAACTCAGGAATGACATTTAGGCCCCACTTCAAGGCCTTAATCCCGAAAGTGGAAGGGATCCTTCGGTCCATTGAAAAGATCCTTCCGAACCTCCACGGGCCAAAGGAGAAGAAGCGACGACTCTATAGCAGCGTGATCCACTCAGTGCTCCTCTATGGGGCTCCGGTGTGGTGGCGCGCTGTTGTGGAGGACCAGAAAGTCAGAAGGGCTGTTCGGGCCTTGCAGAGAAAGGTGGCGATCAGGGTTTGCTTCGCCTACAGGACGGTTTCCTTTCATGCGGCAATGATAGTCGCGGGGATCATCCCCCTTTACTATCTTGCCCCCCGACTAGCGGAGGTGTATGCGAACCTTAAAGATGCGGAGGGACCCGTCCCTCCAAATATTAGGGCGGAGCTGGGTGCTTTCGCCAGGATGGGGGCGATTGCTGCATGGAAGGAGGAGGAGATCGGGTTGATAGGAGTTACAGGAGAGACAGGGGTGCGGGTTAGGGCAGCCATTGCTGACAGGTTGGATGAGTGGGTTGAGAGGCCGTACTTCATAGGTACGACCTTCCACACCACTCAGCTGATGACTGGCCATGGCTGCTT